CAAACAAAGTCTACGTCCACTACCTTAGCTATCCACACTAAGGATTTTCCAACAAATTCACTAATTTGTTCTTTCTTTTGAGGCCAAAGAGATAACCTTACAAAATCCCTCAAGAGTATACCCCAACTCTTGAGAACACTCTTTTTCCCAAAGAGAAGATTACAAATTTGCAAACTTACAAGAAAACCTCACAAGGTAAGATGTTTGCACAATTCTAGAACAAAGAAAAGAACACTCAGGATAAATACAATTGAGTACAAAAGTGTTCTTGAAAGCAAATGAATATTGGATGAAAAATAGGCTTGAAATACTCAAACTTGAGGTTTGATGCTTTCTCTTTGATTCTCTCTTGATTCTAGTTGATTGATGTTTCTTGTTCTTGATCAATGGCTCCAGAACTTGTTTAAATACCCCTTGAATCAATTCTGAACGTTGGTGATAATTAGTGGGGATAATAGAGCCGTTTAAGTGTGAAAACAATTAATTTTTCTAGGTGGAGCGTCTCATGCATCGATGCATGATCAAGTATGCATCGGTGCATACGTGTAAAATTCAAATATTTTGACCGTTGGAACACTTGATGCATCGGTGCACCAAGTGTGCAACGATGCATGAAATGCATTCGATGTTTGAAAATAGCCTGAGTGCATCGATGCATGGCTTGTGCATCGATGCATCAAATGCATTCGATGTTTTGAAAATATTCAGAGTGCATCGATGCATGGAGAATGCATCGGTGCATGGAATGCATTCGATGTTTCAATTAATTCACTAATGCATCGATGCATGGTTGATGCATCGGTGCATCACCTCAAATAATTGAATTTAGGCTTTGATTTTGGTTCAAAATACTTTGTGAAAATTGTTTTAAAAATAGTTTAAGTACAAATCACAATTTTACACATTTAGTAAGGTTTAAAATTGATCTTGAAAAACTTGGAGTAATAATTTGATATTCGGTTAATTGAATCGAATATAAAATTGTAAAATCATTTGTAAAATCTTAAAATTCATTTAACTTAATTTGTTATATCGAAATATCAAAAATGTTTTCAACAAGATATTATTTAAAATAATTGTAAATTGTTTTTTAATTAAAAAAATATTAAATTCTAAAATTCTAAAAAATTTCGGTTAATTCGAAAATTTACCGAATTAACCGAAATTTATTCGGTTCGGTTAATATTTTCGAAAAAAAGTTCAGTTCGGTTAACGGTTAAAGAAAAAAAAAGTTCGGTTAATTCGAAAATGGTAGTTGGGTCGGTTCAGCCACCGAATTAACCGAATGAACACCCTAGATAAGATTATGAAATATAACTTTTACACCACTTATATATAGTAATTTGAAAAAACCTATTGAAGGTTGAATTAGTTTTCAATAAAAACCAATAGCCAAAATAAAAAAATTTAAAGGTAAAACCTCCGAAGTTCTCGGAAGGTTTATGTTTGGCAAGGGTTTGGTTGAGTGTACGGCTGTTTCCACGTAACCGGTGGATGCTGCGGCCGCCGTTTCTGAGGCTATCTCCTTCGTCTCATTAGAAGGCCATGAGATGGATACGTCTACCCCGGTAGGCACGGAGGGTGGCCCTACCTCGATGTCGCTTCCGGTAGGGGTCACTGCTGATATGATTAAGGATTCTACCTTGCCATCATCTCCCCCTTTAGAAGGGGATGTTTCTGGCCGTGAGAGGAAATCTTATGCTGCAACTGTGCGGGGTTATCTGCAGATACGTGTATTGAGGCCACTGGTTTTAGGGTGGATGATGTGGAGATACTTGAGGGTGATGTTACGGTTGATTGGTCTGGTGATTACCCGAGAGTCCATTTCTCTAACGGGGTGCAACATGAGACAGTCGATATTTTAAGATTTGGTTCGTTTTGAGTGTGCATACTACTATTCTAAAATGTTAATGGAAGGCCGTGTAACCATGGATGATCTTTGGTAGCTATCTTACCGTGTAACCATGGATTGAGAATTTCCCCAAGTCTGAAAGCCATCATTCTAAGGTAATTGTTTGGGTCTGACTACCGGGGCTACCGTACCGGTACTAAACGAGATTCATATTTGGACGTATCGCTGTCGAACTTGGTGAAGTGATAAAAATAGACTACAATACGAATATGAGTGAACGTGGAAAGTTTGTGAGATTTGCGATAGCTATAGATTTGAGCAAACCCCTTCTTCCATGCATTGGCATCGATGATTTCATCCAACAAATTGAGTGCGAGGGGCTACAAAATATATGCTTCAAATGTGGGGTTTACGGCCACATGCATGATATTTGTGGGAAAACTAATGATAATGCAATGGAATTGGAGAGGCATGATGGTAGTTTTCATACTGGTGTTCTTCCGACAGAGTGGTCAGGTGATGAATTATAGGGGCCTTGGATGATCATATCCAATCGACTTCAGCGATCTCGAGAAAAGGACTCGAAAAATAAGGGAGATGGCAAGATAAAGAGGGTGGTGATTCGAGCATTGGTAACAATTCCCGGTTTGAGGTATTTGCATCCGAACACCAACTTGGTAATAATCAAGACAATGAATAAAATCCCATGCAGCTGAGGAAGATGGTGGATCGTCCTGTTCGAACTTTGGAAAAAGCTACTGGGAAACGGGTGATATCACAGTAAGTCGTTACTATTGGTAAAGGGTTCACGGGTTCTCCACGGTCTAGTCAGGACCCAAGTGGAAGTGCTGGTGGTGTTGTTATCAAAGGAAATTTGTCAGAGCAAGTGAAGGAATTAAATTTGGAGGTGGAAAGAGTTTGAGTTGATGGTCGGCATGTTGAATCTCTGGTTGTTAGTCAGGAACCACATGTATTGGTCAAGGAAGCAAGTGCAAGAAATGGGAAGCATATGGCAGTGACCATCCTAGAGCGTACCAAAGATAAACACAATCTGTCTAAAGGGGAATCTACTGGAAACAAAGGTTTGAAAGTAAGAAAGAAAAACATTCAGTATAAGCCGCCATCGCGCCCAGTTCTGTCTGATTAGGTTCAATCAGCGGCGGGTGGCCTTAATGCTGCGAATAGTAGTTCAAGTACGTTGTCTCATGATACGGTCATGTTTGGCAAAGAGAAAATGGAGTTGAATATCTTGGGGTATAGTTCGGGTACAAAGGGTGACGGAACACCAAATGAATCCCATAATCCATTATCATGTTAAACTGTTTACTTTGGAACTGTCAAGGGGCAGCTAACCCCACATATCAGTGTTATTTTAAGCAGACTGTTCAGGATCTCAAGCCATCCTTTGTAGCTTTGTTGGAGACTAGGGTGAGTGGTGCAAAAGCAGATTCGATTATAACGAAGCTCAGGTTCTGTAACTCCTTCCGTGTTGAAGCACAGGGTTTCAGATGTGGTATTTGGTTGCTCTGGCATGATCATTTGCATGTGGAAATTCATAAAATTGCTAATCAATTAATTCATTGTTAAATATGTGGTGCTGGTATAGGTGACGTTATTTATATTATTGTAGTCTATGCGAGTCTGAATATTCTTATCAGGAAACATTTTGAGCTCTTATTGAAAATCTCAATCCGGGGAATAACTGTCCTTGGCTTTTGGGTGGAGACTTTAACGCCATCTTAAGTCAAAACGAGCGGAGTGGAGGGGCTGTTGGTCGTGTGAGTACTAGTCGAAGTTTTGCTTCTTTCGTGAACAATTGTGCTCTTTTTGATCTTGGCTTCTAAAATCTTCCGTTTACTTGGTCCCGTGGCTCTCTTCATCAATGGTTAGACCGTTGTCTGCTGAATTCGTGTTGGCATGCTCGTTACCCGGATTTGGCAATCTTTCATTTGGACTGGTTGGGGTCGGATCATAGACCCCTCCTTTTGAAATTAGAGCTTGATCACTTAAATTGTGGAGCACTGCCTTTTTGGTTTGTTTTCGCTTGGCAACATCACCCGAATTTCAGGAATTTCCTCATGGTGAATTGGTCAAAAGATGGTGATATTGTTGCTAATCTTCATTCTCTACATTCTAAATTAGTGGAGTGGAATCAATCGACGTTTGGTTTGATTGGTGCTCGGAAAAAACGGTTATTGGCCCGTTTGCGAGGCATTGACCGTGCCTTACAACAAAAGCATTCGATGTTCCTGATTAATCTCGAGGATCAACTAAAGACGGATTTAGAACTCCTTCTCGAGCACGAAGAGACTTTATGGATGCAAAAGTTCCGATGCAATTGGATTATCCATGGAATCGATATACAAGATTTTTCCACGCATGTGCAAGGAGTCGTCGCCGCTAGAATACCATCTCTATGCTACGATGTGAAGACGGTTCTTGGTGCAATGACCAATCTACTCTTCATGGCATTACAGTTAGCTGCTTCATTAATCTGTTTACGAGCAATGGTAATCATGGGTATACTATCACATTCACGGTCGCTTTCTCTCTATTGATGATGCATCGTTTAGTGCTCTATCAGCTCCAGCTCCAGCTCAGATGGTGAAATTCGTCAGGTGGTGTTTAGTATGGACCCAGCTAAGGCCCCTGGTATTGACGGGTTTCATGTTTTTTTCTATCAACGCAATTGGGAGCTGGTCGATCCACAGGTTTATCACTTGATCTGGGATTATTTTATTCGGAAGACAGTCACCCCAGAGATGAATAAGACTCTTTTGGTACTTATTCCTAAAATTGTTGTGTCGGAATATATAACTCAGTTTTTCCCGATAAGTTTGTGTACAGTGGTGTTCAAAATTGTCACCAAAGTGGTAGTTAACATATTGAAACCTCTTCTTCCGAAGCTAATCTTCGAGACCCAAACAAGTTTTGTGTTGGACCAAAGCATAACTTATAATATTGTTATTGCTCAAGAAATCATTCACTCGATGAGAAAGAAGAATGGCCGCAATGGTTAGATGGCTATCAAACTTGATCTGGTAAAACCATACGATCGACTTTAGTGGTCGTTCATCGATGATACCTTGCATGATGTTGGGTTACCCCAAGAATTTCGCCAACTCATCATGAATTGTGCTTGTACAGTATGACAGTATCTACAAAGGTGTTATGGAATGGGGCCATCTCAGATTCTTTTATTCCATCCCGTGGCATCCGTCATGACGATCCTTTGTCACTGTATCTTTTCGTTCTTTCTATGGAATGGTTAGCACAAGCTATTCAGAAGGAAGTGGATGATGGAAATTGGAAGCCGATTAGATTGGTTCGTAACGGTCCATGTCTATCTCATCTGTTCTTCGCAGATGATTTAGTGTTATTCACTGAAGCGTCCTTGGACCAGTTAGATGTGATTCAACGGGTTCTGAAAAAGTTCTGCTATAGTTCAGGCCATAAGTTTAATCATGCAAAGACACATATCTTCTTCTCGCATAATGTGGATGACACTGTTTTCCAAGACATTAGCGAGGGATTCAATTATTCAAGAGTAGATGATCTCGGGCGTTACCTGGGAGTTCTCCTTCTGCACAAACGAGTAACTAAAAAGATTTATGATTATTTAATCCAGAAGGCCCGAGATAGACTTGCTGGATGGAAAGTGAAATCTCTCTCTTTTGCAGGCCGTATTATGTTGGCCAAATCGGTTTTAAACACGTTACCTACATATGCCATGCAAACAAGTTATTTACCAAAAGGTGTTTGTGAAGAAATAGAACGGTTGACGAGAAATTTCATTTGGGGCCATTCCGATGAGAAGAGAGGCATCAATCTCGTCTCTTGGGATCGAATTTGTATGCCGATCGAGCAAGGTGGACTTGGAGTTCAGAGAATAGTTACTCAAAACGAGGCTTTTCTGATGAGATTGGGTTACAAACTTTTGACGAACGAAAAACAACTATGGGCTAGAGTTCTCCGAACCAAGTATAAATGGGGTGGCGTCATTCCTGATCTCCTCGCTCGTCCTGGGTGCTCTCGTGTTTGGCGGGGCTTTTAATTTGGCCGGAGGTTCGTTTCGGGATTAGTTGGAGGCTCGGGAATAGAAACAACGTGGATTTCTAGAGAGAGGATTGGGTGTGCGATATTGGTCCCCTCATGAACCACTGTAAGATTCCACACTTTTCCTTTCATCCCTCTCCGGTTGCTCTTATGGTGGGTGTAAATGGTGATTAGAGGTGGGACATATTGCGAGCTTTGTTGCCGGATGAGATCTTGTTATCCCTTCCAGCTGTGATTCCACCTAGGCTAACCGGTGGAGATGATAGACCGAGATGGAAATTGGAAAAGAATCATCAATTCACCATAGCTAGTGCCTACAATCAGCATTTGGGGGTTTCTCTTGATGTGGATTCTGACCTGTGGAAAACCTTATCACGTTACAAGGGATTACCGAGAGTTAGTTATTCTGGTTGATTGGACATAATCGACTCTTGACTAAGAAGAAAAGACTCGGAGACACATTTCCGTAAGTTCGCTGTTGAATCCACCTCGCACATTCTCCGAAGATGCACTATTGCTATTGCGACTTGGACATGCCTGATCAAACCAAATCGGCTTCTTAATTTTTCACCATAGATGTGAAGCAATGGATTCTTACATATCTGAGTGACCCGGAATATTTCCCGATCAATGGCAAAGAGTGGGACCTGCTATTTGGTTTGATCCTTTGGTGCCTCTGGACACGGAGGAACAAAGTCATTTTTGATTCAGGATTCATTGAGACTGCAAGCATATTACAGCGTGGAAGACGTCTTTGTGAAGAAGCTTTTCGTGCTCATGTGGTCATGAATGGCTTTACAGGAAGTGATTCAAATGGTGTACTTCTCATTTGATCCCACACTTGATTGAGATAATCGACCGGCACTGGCGGCTGCAATTCTCTTATACGCTGCGAGACGCTAATCGAGCAGATGCAGTGGCGAAAGTGTGATGGACCATGGCTTTTGGTACCTACAGATTTTCAATTCCCCTGCATCAGTTTCTGGTTTGAACGATGACTTTATCAAAGCGGCGGTTCCAAGCAGCGAAGAGACCTGTATATATACCTCACAGCTCCACCTGAAGCGGGGAGCAGCAGCCCGTAGATTTGGTGTAGCCGAGAATCCACTCACCAGAACTATCTCGGATGATTCCTCCAGCGGTACTGTGTAGATTATCACTCGAGATGGCACCGTCAGTATTAACGGAGACCCAACCAAGGGGTGGTTTATCCCACTGAATGACTCGGGGGAGCTATGGGAAGAGCCAGACCTTCGGGTGAAGGAGGAACCAAAATACCTTGCCCAGGAAAGAGCAGCAATGAAATCAACCATTCCGGCGCTTCCACTAGAGCCAGACGAGAGCAACAAATAAAAAATTCCAAGGACATCTCTATAACTTATCAACTTTTTATAAAAATCAAAGTTGGATTGTCTCAGGAAATGCGGGTTAATATACGGCTAATATACGGCGTTACCGGATACATTAAAAGATATTTAACAAATTCGGTTTAGCGCTACCGGAAATGTTGACTAATAATAATGTAGTAGGTCTAAGTCATGAAGAAATATTAAAAAATTGTGCAATCGGCAAACTTAACTTGTCGGTTCGTGTCGATCCAAATTAAAAATGTGTCGATCCAAAACGATATAACATGTAAAACTATGACAAAACCTGTATTGAAATGATAAAACCGGTAAAGCGCTACCGGATACATTTAAAGTGTCGGTATTTTAATATAAGGATCGACACTTCGTGAATTTAAAAGAAAAACAGTTTTAAATCCTATAAAGTGTCGATACTTTTAAAAAATATATCGATCCAAAACGATATACCAGGTAAAAATATGATAAACCGGTATCAAAATGATAAAACTCGTAAAACGTTACCGGATATATTGAAAGTGTCGATACTTTATATAAGGATCGACACTTTGTGAATTTAAAAGAGAAGCAGTTTTAGCGCCTATAATGTGTCGATACTTTAAAAAATATATCGATCCACAACGATATAACAGGTAAAAATATGATAAAACCGGTATCAAAATGATAAAACCGGTAAAATGATACCAGATATATTGAAAGTGTCGATACTTTCGTAAGTACGTGTAATAAATTATCGACACTTTCAAAGAAATAGGTAATTATCCTTTCGAAAGTATCGACACCTGACATAAAAGTATCAACACTTTTGTATTTGTATCGATTAAATATAAATAACATATCCGATGAAAATATAAAGGTCATAGCTAAATATCCTCTGAAAATAGATAGAACGGACGAGTTTTTGAAATCGAAGCGTAATTGTTGCTGCATTTCAGAAGGCGTTTCTAAAGCGAAGTTTGTTTGTTTGTTGCTGCAGTCGAATCGAAAAGTATGTTGTCGAAACCCTAATTTTTTATTATTACAGTAATCGCGATAGGGTTTTTATGTGTTGTTTGGGGTTTTAGAGTAAAGATGCATTTGTGACTGATTGCAGGTAGAAAGTGATATTCAAGGAAAAATATAAATGTCGATACTTTTATTAAATATTATAGGTAGAAAATGATATTATAGGTTGTATAAATGTGCCGACACATTTTGGTGTGGCCATTCAAATTCTTTTGAAGAAAATCGTTTTACCACAAGAGTAGTTATCTATATTTGTATATTGAATAAAGTGTATGTAAAAAAATAATTTGATTTGCGTAAACTGATATATGAAGAAAAAATGGAGTCAATGGGTTGGAAAATTGTTGGTGGAGCAGATGACTTTGAAATTGAGGCCGAGACTCGAAAGCAACCAAAGGGTGGATATATGTACTTCTAGTAAGTATCAATGTCTTTTTGTTATTATTGTTGAAATGGTAATTGGATTAAAGTATCGATAAACTTTAAATTGATTACGAATTTTAAATGTTGACAGTATGGCCGAATGCAAAAGGATGAAGGAAGATGGCACACAGAGCGGTTCGGTATGTAAAATGAAATTGACATTGAGTAGTATTTAGTGTTAATGTATTGATTAAGAAACGTTTATGTTTAATATTAGGTGACAAAAGATGTGAGGTCCAAATGGAATTCAATGAGTGATGCTGAAAAGGAACCTTACATCACACAGTTAAGGAATGATAGTAAAGAATACAAAGAACGGAGGAAAGCACATGAAAATAAGGTATTCATTAAACTTGAAAATACGTTGATACAAAATATATAAGAACTATAACATTATATATTGTTAAAAAATGTAGGAAGTGTCGACAAGATGCATCATTAAAAGGGTGAATTCATTAATTAAACACCTTAAGGAGAAGGGTCAGTTGAATGTGCTGGGAGAAATAGGTTTTAGATCGTTGGTAGGAGTAAGGGATCGACCTATTCGGAGGGAATTGTGTCGATCATTGATGGTGCAATTTGATGTCAGACAATGTATTGCTAAGTATGGTGATTTTTCATTTCCTCTCGGGATCCCATGTGCTGTAGCCGTATTAGGGGTAGAAAATGAAGGCAAAAGTGTTGTAGAAGTCTGTAAGAGTAAGGACTGGAAAGCACTTGCCTCCAAATATGGTTTGAAGCAGAAGGTGACATATGCTGAAATTGAAGAGGAAATAAAAAGTGGATCTTACGTTGGGGATGAGCTGAAGGCCAGAGTTCTATTATACCTTATCGGTATCTTTCTTTGTCCAACGGGTAATACGTCAACGAACAATGAACATATGAAGCTCATTTGCGATGAAGGCTTGAAAGGTGAATTCAATTGGGCTGAATATATCCATTCGAGATTGATTGAATCAATAATCACCTTTAAAAAGGGCAGCCAGAGATACCTTAAAGGGTGCATAGCAATCTTAGAGGTAAATGAGTGAAGAACTTTTTGTGTTTTTATATAAAATATAAATTTTATTATAATGCAGGTTGCACTGTTCGATTTTTGGTCGGGCTGTGAGGCAGTGCCGACTTATGAAAGAACCGGAGTGGCACGCATCCGTGCATGGGGGAAGGAAGAGGTGGTTAGAGTGATGGTGAAGTTGAAGTTGGATAGAGCGAAGAAGCAAGAAAGGGTAATAAATGTAATTAAATAATATTAAGAATATAATCAATGTCTTAATATTGTAATTTAATTTTGAAGGTTATTGGCAAGGATGTAGAGGAGGCAGTGGAGGCAGAGGAGAAGAAATGAGCGATGGTTGTATTGGGGGATGACGGTGAGTGGGACGACAGTGAGGGAAAACATAGTAACTTCGACATTTTGATGTCTAAATTGGCTGATATAAAAAAATCCAATTTGATATCATGCAAAGACAATCAAGAGTTGAAGAGAAACTTGATAGAGTCGAAGAGAAACTTGAGAGAGTCGAAGATACACTTGAGAGGCATAAGGGGGTAGTGGAAGGAAAAATAGATGGAGTGGTGAAAGAAGTAGAGGTGTTGAGGGGTGAAGTGGTGAAAGAAGTTGGGGTGTTAAGGGGTGATATTAAGATGGTGACGGGTGAAAAATTTGAAGGAGTGGTGAAGGAGGTTGTGGAATTGAGGAGTGAACTTACGGGGGTGAAGGGGGTGGTTGATAAATACTTGGATGAAGGAGATCAATTGAAGGGTGAAATAAAAGAGATGAAGAGCTATGTAGAAAAAAAATACGATGAACTGAAAAAATATGAAGAAGAAAAGAGGGAGGAGGAAGAAGAAGAGATGGAAAAAATGAGGAGGAAGGAAGTCTATGTCATTTATACACCGGAGAGTGTTATAGCAGCAGATTTGGATTCGGAATGTCCTGCACCCCAGAAGAAGAAGCAGAAGGCAAGTTGAATAAAAGAAAACTTAATTTGATTTTTATTATGTTGTTGTGACAAAAATTTATATGCAAAATTGTAGGTTGAAAAAGCGGATATTCCAAGCGGAATTGATGACATCGAAGCTGCAATTTGTGATTATTTATGGAATAGTGAGTTAGAATCGGAGTAAGTGAAATATATTGCTTTGTGAGTTATATTTGAATATTTCATGACACCATATTAATCCTAATGATTCATACAGATATTCTGTAATCTCAATGGGAAATCAATTCGCTAGTGTATACGACGTTGCAACGTTGAAGCCTACGAAATGGGTTGGCGGTGTGGTAAGTAGAAAGTAGAAAATGTTAAAACTTATTGAATATGTTCTGATTGTGTAATTAATTTTGTTAGGTTATTGATTTGGTCGCCTGGACAGTATGCTACGATTCTCAGAAGTCACTCCGGAGGATTGGCTACCTTCCATACCACTTAGCGGTGAGTTAAATTAATAAATGGAGATAAGTAGTGTTATAGACGGTAAATTAATAATGTTTGTTGCGTAATTGCAGCAGCAGGCGTTGGATGCCAATAACAAAGAAAGTGTTGAGAGTATTGCTACCTTCTGGGGTCCCATACTGAATAACTATGTGAAATTCACCGACTGTGAGAAGGTAAGACACCATACCAATTGCAAATGATGTTTTCGGATATAGAATGTTGAATTTTGTCAAATTGGGTGTGAAATTTGTTGCAGATCATGATCACAATAAACTACCATAATTCACATTGGTATTTGTTGGTGTTGGATATGGTAGATCGTATTGCAACAATATATGATAGTATGTTTACAACTGAAGCAGCTAAACAGAGAGTGAAGGATGCTAAGAGATTGGTATGTATGTATGTATGAAAGGACATTATGTAAATTATTATGCATAATTTTTTGGGATCATAACTTCTTATATTTTAATGCAGATTAAAATATTAGATTCTTATAATAAGAAATGCATTTGGGTTGAATCCTGTGGATCTATAGGAAAGTATCCCTTGAAAAATTTCAAATTTGTGGAGCATAAGAAGAATAAACAATTGAATGGGTAT